CCTGCCCGCGAGGCCGCGGCGTGGCGGTGGGGGCCCGGCCTGTGCGCCCACGCGCCGGGACCCGCTGTGCACGCCCGCGTCCCCCTGGGGGCTGGGTTGGGCAGCTTCGTGGTGGGCAAGCGGCCGGGGAGTGGGTTCGGGGATCCCAGAAATGCGGGGCGGGCGAGGACGGCCAGCGCGTGGGTTACAAACTTCCTCCCCCGCGGAGACGCGTGCCTGCCGAGCCGCGGGATCTGCGGGGCCGCCCCACGCCCACCCCGACACCCGGCTTCCTGCGGGAGAGAGCCGCCGAGATGGCACTGCGCTCTCGTCCGCCTTCAGCCCTGCTCCGCGGGCACACGTTGGAATGGACTGATGCTAGCTGGCACTTTCTGGTCGGCGTACGCTGTCTCAGGCGTTGGTCTAATTTCATAGGGGCCCAGTCAGAGTCACGACCCCAGCAGCCCGTAGAGAAGGAAGCCCAGGGACAAAAGAGCTGAGTAAATTGTCATTAATTAGAAGAGCCGCCGTGTGAACTGAAGCCGCCTGGGCCTGGAGCCTGCATTGCTAACCCCTGGGGTACACTACCTCCGGGAGCAGGAGAGCCTCCTGCTGCTGCTGCTGCTGCTGCTGCTGCTGCTGAGCTGGTTCCGTGGCTGCCCCAGCCCTGGCAGCGCTCAAAGATCATGCTGACCCCCGTATTCAGAGCTGGCCTCTGAGGGGCCTCCGTGGTCAGGGATAAAAGCCGAGTGGCCTCTTGTTTGAGATGTGTCCGCATCTGATCCAGCGGCAGATGACAGGGAAAAAAGATAGGGCTGTGAACAAATCCTAGGGACAGAGTGGGTGGGTTTGTACTTTCAGCAAGGGACCCGCAAAGCTCAGATAGGAGGTAGGAGAAGAGAAGGACTTGCCTGCAGGCACTCAGCAGCAGGTGTGGCAGAGCTGGGATTTGAACCTGGGCAGTCTGGTGGTTCTTCGTTAACCGCCATCATGTGCTGCTTCTCACCCGAGGGAGAAAGAAGTGAGGGCGACTGAGTCACAGGCTTCCTGGAGGAGGAAGGGTAGGTGGGACATCAGCTGTGTCTGCAGGGTGAGCCAAACGGGCAGGCTGAGGAGGGGGTGGCCTCCCAGGGGAGGATAGGTGGGGATCGAAAGAGCTTCTAATTCAAGGGGTCCCTGACACCGCACGTCTCCCAGTGTTCCAGTTCCTGCCCAATTTCGGGAAGCTGGAGGGGCTTCCAGGACCAGCTGGTTCAAAGTGGTCATTTTATACATGAGGGAACTGAGGTGCAGGGGCACGTGGCAGTTTGCTCAGATTCCCAGAGAGTGTGGACAGCAGAGGGGAGTCCAGGGTCCGGCCTGTCTCCTGGACGCTGCTGTCTGCCGGCTACCCTGGGGTGGGGAATGGTACACCAAGGATCGGAGCCTGGGTCAGGCTTCAGGTGTGTGTGTTAGTGTGGCTGAGTTTGCTGGGTTTGCTCACTGTGCCTCAAGCCCCTGTGTCTTTAGCTGTGGCTGTTTTCAGGGGTCCTGTTCTTCCCTCCTGGGCTGCTAGCCACAACTTCCCCTCTCCCGGAGGTAGGAATCTGGAGCCTCGGGGCAGTGTTGGGCAAGCTGGTTCAAGGGGACCCAGGAGGGTACCTGGGAGGCCTTTTCACTCCAGCAGCATGACACCAGAGTCATGGTGTGGCATGGGGACCTCTTGGTTGGGCTGAGAAGGACCAGACCTCTCCCAGAATGCTCTGAGATTTTCAAAAAGCACTGGCTTTTGTCTGGGCATCGTAAATTGGTCACTGTCCTGCTCCAGAAGCAAGACCAGCCCTGCAGAGACTGAGCCCTTCTCCCTCCAGCGTTGGGCTTATGCCCTTCTCTTGCCTCTGTTGAACAGCAGATCCACTCTAGCCCTTCAGCTCCTAACCAAGCCCCACACTCTGGGTCCTCGCTGAGCACGCACAGAAGGCCGCCACTGTCCGCACGGGCTGGGAGCCTGAATTCCGCTTCCCTGGGCTAGTTTGCCCTGCCTCCAGGCGCTCGCGATGGCTGCCTGTTCCTGCCCCCACCCGACTCCTATCTCCGGACTCTGCTGCTCCGCATTGTGTCCAGGATCTTATCTTCTGCCAGCATATCCCTGCTCAGGGCCTCAGGGGCCTCCCGTGGCACCCATGGGTGTTTGTTGGATTATCTCCTTTCTGGGGTTTGGAGACGGAGAAGAGCAGCCTCCCGGGTTAAGTCGCAGAGCCTCATCCTGGCGTCCAGAGTCCCTGTCTCCCGCCCACCTCTGGCCACACACTCCGGCTGCTAGCTGAGGGGCCACCACTCCCTGGATGCACGCTGGCTGTCCCCTCCCCCTTCGGCCCAGCAGCCCCGCCTGTTTGAATGCCATCTGCTCATTGTGCCCTGCTGACCAGCAAACCCGTTCCTTAGGGTAACGGCAAATGCTCTGCGTGTTGGCCTCCTGTGACATCTGTGACCAGCTGCCCTGTGAACTTGTCGTTCTCGTCCTCTTGTCCAGGTCAGAAGTGGAGAGCCTTGCTCATTTCAGTCTCCCTACAAGCCTAGCGTGTGCTCGGGAAACACAGGTTGTGCTGAGGTGAAGGAGGGCAATCCGCCATCCCCAGGCCAGGTCTGCCCCCAGAGAGGTGGATTTGGGGGCTTTCTGGCTTGGTGCTGGCAGGACTGCCTTGAGGCTGGGCGGGAGGCCTGGAGGCACCAAGTTGCTCTTTGGTGCTGCGGCCCCCGGGGGCACCTGCTCGGACTCTCCCGGCCGGATAGGACGGCATGTGCTGGGCACGTGGGGCACAGAGGAGCAAGTGAGGAGCCACCTGGGTGTCCAGCAAGGCCCCCCCTCACCTGTGAAGCTGTCCTGTGCTGTCTTTTGGGGCCCTGCCCCTGGTTCCTGAGGGAACCAGCCTGACTCTCATAGAGCCCATCTGCCAGGTTTCATGCAGCCAGCACACAGTGCCCAGAGTCATAAGCTGCCGGCCGGCCCCTCTTGGGGGAGGCCCGGCACTTCTTGGGGCCTGGTAGACACGAGTCTTCCCCAGACGCTAAGCCCACTTGGATAGGGATGAAGCCCTATCCTTGGGCCTCCTCTATGTGACACGGTGCCAGGCTCCCAGCAGGTGTCGAGGGTGTAGAGCTGCATCCCTCAGAGTGGTGGGCTCACTCCTAGGACAGACGCCCCCGCCGCCATCTGTAGGAAATATCAGGGCATGAGCTTCGTTTTAACTAAATGTCCATCAGAGCTGATGGGGTGATACCATTGTTGAGAGCATGTGTCCATCTTTCTTCCCCCAGCTTGTGTGTTTAAAAGGGCTTGTAGGGGCACCTGGGTGGCTCAGTCGTTAAGCGTCTGCCTTCGGCTCAGGTCATGATCCCAGGGTCCTGGGATCGAGCCCCACATCGGGCTCCTTGCTCAGC